CGGTGCCCGTGCCTGGGCCCTGGCCCCGTCGCTGCTGCTGCTGCTGCTGCTGGGTTATGGCTTGGGTGATGAGGCCTGGCAGGGCGTGGAGACTGAGGCCCAGGGCATCGATCTTGCCCTCCAGGGTGCTGATGCGCTTCTCCAGGTCCTCGTTGCGCTCCTGGAGCTCGGACACCAGGTCGTACATGACGTTCTGGGTCTGCAGGGCAAGAAAGGGCAGCGCTGAGCGGTGCCCGGTTGGCAGCTCCACCAGTCCATCCCGGACCCGTTTGCTGGGGAGCAGAGGGAGCTGCCCCAGGATGCACCAGACCCGGGGATTGAGCCCACGAGTCCTGGCTGCTGGAACGGCTACAGACTCCTCTCCCCGAGCTGGGCGCAGAACCCAGGGGCCCCGGGGTGCCTGGCACTGACCGCGGCCCACTCACCTTGGCCAAGTCCACCAGCGTGTTCGCCTGGTCGTTCAGCTTCCGCTGCTCCATTTTCACACTCCTTAATCTAAAGTGAAGCGAGAGGCAGGGGGTCAGTGCCCTCCCGGCAGGAGCGGGGGTGCCCGGGCCGCCCCCCAAGGGACACGCAGTGCAGGGGACCCCTGCGAGCGCACGGGGCTCCACTCCTGAGGGCTGCCCCCTTGGGAGCGGGGTGCCCTTGCCAGAGCCAGGGGATGGGGGGCCAGGGGCAGGCTTCTCTGCACCCAGCAGAGATGGTGCACCGGGACCCCAGAGCCTGCAGCCCCGCGGCTTCCCTCTCTCCTGCTCTCCCTGCCCCGGCAGCAGACCTGCTGCCCACGCTGGGCAGGGGTCACAGCAGCCGGCCTGAACTCTGCCCGGCTCATATGCCCCTTGCCACGTCCGTCCCCACTCCGCTGCCCCCGTTCCCAGCTCCTTCCTTGCATGCCAAGCCGGGCTGCAAGCCCCCCACAACACCACCAGCCAAGGGCTGCAGGGTTTCGACTTTGGGGCTCCAGGCAGCTGGTAGAGGGGCTAGTGCCACGACGGCTGGCTCCAGCCTGGCCTTTGCCAGACAGCTGCATGGCTGCGAGGCTGATGGGAAACCTGGGGTCACCCGGTTGGAGCCCCTGGATTGACACGGCGGGATGAGGAGCTGCTTCTGGAGCGGCTCCAGGGAGAAGCCCTGCGGGGCGGGCGAGGGGGGCAGCTCCCCTGGTCCCTCCCGCCCCACGGCACCGGATGGGGCAGGATCCCCCAGCACGTGACATGAAGCCATGCACACACAGGGTCACGTTAGAGCCCGGCAGCTCCCGCGGGCCACTTACTTCTGAGCTCTGGAGGGGCCGGGCAGAACAAAGACAGAACACAACACAGGTTTAATAACACACGAGCCCCACGCACGCACCCGCCCTGGCCCGCGCCCCACTCTCACACAGAGGCCCAGCCCGTCCCTCTGCGGGCCTGGCCCCGCCGAGCTCCCTGCAGGGGCCGAGACCTGGCCAGCACCCGGCTGCCCCGGATGCAAGGCCAAAGCATGCACGTGGGCTGCTGACCTCCATGGACGACGGTTTGGGGGGTGCACAGCTGAGAGGCAGGGCAGGAGCACGGGGAGGCTGCATCCCCGTGGGAGGGAGAGCTAACTGGTGCCTACTGGAGAAGCCAGCAGGATTGGGCCCTAGTCCTGGCCCCGTCTTGACCACCTAGGGAGGCCTGGGTGGGTCTCGGAGGGCTGGGCTGTCCCAGGACCCCATGCAGCTGGGTGCAGAACTGCTGTGACTTTTGGGGACCCTGCCTCAGTTTCTCTCTACGTGGGTCAAGAAGCAGACCTGCGCCCTCTCCCTTTGGCTTCTGGGCCACCTACCCACCCATCTATCCCCATGCACACCCCCCTGTCCCTCTGCTCCAGACCCAGGGCGAATGCTGGGGACAGCAGCAGCAGCAGCATCTCCCCTGCAGCCGTGGCTCCCCTCCCCACCCCCGTGCAGAGCGGGGCCTTTCTGTATGAGCGTGCACAGGTGTGAGGACACGTGCATGGGGGGGAGGGCGTGCGACACACATCACACATGGGAAAACAAATCGGAGAAAAGCCAAGCCAGCTTGCAGACAGAGACTGGGCAGACACGGGTGCCCCCCACCCTGACCCCTGCCCGGACAGACAGACGCAGCAGTGCCCCGCAGGGTGCTACGGGCTTTGCTTTCGGGGGGGCAGGGTCCATCCTGCATCCTGAGTCCTGCCCACATCACATTGGTGCTCAGGCTCAAGTAGGATGCCCCTGCCAGCCCCATGGCTCGCAGAGGGACCCCAGCCCAGCAAAGCCCTTTGACCCACAGCGACCAGGCGTGGGGACCCCGCAGCTGGGGGGCCCCTGCCGATTCCAGCAGGCTGTGACCATCCCCGGGCCTCTCGTCTCTGCTTCCAACCTTCTTCCCACCCTGCAGCACGGCACTGCCTCGAGGGGCTGAGACAAACCCCTCTGGGATGGGGAGAGGCCGGGGGTATCTTTAGGCAGGAAGATGGAGGTGCTAAATTGGGCGACGGGAGACATTTCACACGGAGCTGGTGGAAAAGCCGGAGGGGGATGGAGAGCAATGGGAAGAGGACTTCTCCCCCATTTGGCAGCTCAGCCAGTTGGCGGCCAGGAAGAAACAAGGGCCAAGCTGGCCAAAGCCCCTGGCTCATCAAGGACAAGACAAGCGCGAGACCACGGCTGCTTCACCCCGTTTCCCCCTCGCGATGCAGCCGATGCACGTCAGCCGGGCTGGAAGAGCTCCGGGCTGGAAAGCCGCGCATCAGCTTCAAGCGGAAAGGGGAAAACTCCTGGGATAAAACCCACTGCGCCGCATTTCCTTTCAAAGAAACCTTTGGCAGGAACTCATTCCCCCGCACGGCTCTGCCCGGGGCCGGCCGGCGATGGCCAACCCGAATCACGAGGGAATTGCATCTCTCCAAAATCCCCGGTTTCCCGAAGCGTCCTCCTCTCTCGCGGTCGTGCCCCAGCCACTGCCTGCCGCCCCCCCACCTCGCTCCCCCAGCGCCCAAGCCGGGAGGCTGCGGAGGGACTGAATACGAAGCAGGTAAAGGTGTTGGACTTACTGATGGATGGCTTGGAGGAACTTACGCTGGTGTTTCCGAACTTTGGCATGGTCGATCTTCTTCACCAGCTTGGTGTGTTTGTAGATGAGCCACGTTTCCCTGAGTACGTTAGCAGCAGCGTTTTTCACCTGCGGGAACAGGAATCAGCGTGGCCACGAAGGGGCTGAGCTGGGATGCCGGGCGAGGAGCCCGGAGGGTGAGAGTCACCCCGTAGAGGCGCCCACGCAGGGCCCTTCCAGCAAGCCCCCCGAGGGGCGGAGGTGCCCAGGGGCACAGAGGCTGCGGGCAGGCCAGGCTGGAGGCTGTGGGGAGGCCTTACCCGCTTCGTTAACTGCGTGTCCATCATGAAGTTGTGCACGTGTTTTTCAGCTTTGGTGAGTTCCAGCTTCCGGGCGACCACAGCGACCACCAGCGCCGTGCACCCGGCACCCTGCGACCGAGACGAGAGCGGGGCCGGGTTAAGGAATTGCAGGGCTGCAGCAGGGAAGGGGATCCAAGGCCGGCAGGAGGGCAGAGAGGAGCCTCCTCCTTAGGAGATGAGGGGGCCAAACCCTGCCTGATTGCAACGGGGAGAGGTGGGGCTGGATGAGCAGGTGCCCCCACTGGGGGCCACAGCGCTGGCGATGGGAGCAGCGGCCAAGATCAGCTTTAGCAGCCTCTCTGGGCTGTTCCCTAGAAGAGGATACCAGCCTACTACTGCTGCCAGCGGAGGAAGGCCCTCCTGCAGCCCCAGCTGCAGCTCCACCATGGTCCCCCCCACAAAATAGGGGGTGTTGGGGCTGGAAAAGCAGCAGCATCACTCCCACAACTCGTCCCCGCGCAGCATGCTCCGGACGCAGCATCTCTGCCCCCAACCCACGCCTGTCTGGGCTTACCATGATGCCGGTGAGCAGGCAGACGCCCTTCCCGCAGTAGGTGTGGGGGACCATGTCGCCGTAGCCGATGGAGAGGAACGTGATGGAGATCAGCCACATGGCTCCCAGGAAATTGCTGGTCACCTCCTGCTTGTCGTGGTACCTGCCAAGGGGCAAGAAGGCGCCAGTCAGCACTCGCCGGGGGCCTGGCACCGTCCCCCGGGGCGGGATTTCGGAGGTCATGCATCGCATCTTAATCCAACGTCAGGCCACGCCGTGAGGCTGCCTCCGGCACGCTCTGGGCAGCGGATGAGCTGGGGAACTCGTCCGCCAGCCCGAGTATCCATCAGAGACCCTGGAGCTGGGAGTCTCAATGATTAGATGTCTCCTCTCGCCTTCCTCCCAGGGCCTGTGAGCACGACACGGGCTCAGGCAGGCGAATGAGCCCAGTCCAGCTTGCCAGGCCGGGCAATGCTGCAGGGGTTTCCCTGAAGCCCGTGGGGGTCACGCACACCCCTCCCCGTGCCCCAGGTCGGCATTCAGCCCAGAGGAAACAAACCCGGCCCAAAGGCTGGAGCTCCAGCTGCAAAAAGCAGCCCGGGAGCACCGGCGGGCAGCTCCCCGGTCCCCACTGAGAGCCCAAAAGGCACCCCGGGGCAGGACGGAGCGTGACAAGGCTGGAGCCAGCGTCTCCCAGGCTCGGCTGGGGGTTTATGGCCTCAAAAAGCCAAATGGCTGGCCCCCTCCCGAGGCTCCTGAGGCCCGTTGCCCTCTGGCCCAGCTGGCTGGCACGGAGGAGGCGGCCTGTGGCTGACCCGTTGGATGAAGATTGGTGGTACCCGCATTACGGGAAAGCACTGATTCAGGGTCCCGCCGACTCGGGGGCACACGGGGGATGTGCAGCAGTAGCTCAGGGGACCCCTCCCCACCTTTTAGGGTCATGGAGGGGTGGGGGCAGATGCGAGGGATCAGCCCGATGTCTGTGCAGAGCTTGGGTATGGCACGGCAGGGATGCGCCAGGCAATGGGATGATGGAGCCAGCCAGCCACACGCCTCGCATGCTGCGTGCCAGCCTCGGCAGAAGGGAGAGAAGCCGGTGCAGGACCCGGGCACCCTCCCCGCATCCCGGGGACATGCTGCAGGTGAGCTGAAGTCTGCACCCACTGGATGTGGAGGGACCCTCCTGGCACCTTCTGCTTGTGCCTCCAGGGAAGCTCTGTACGTCCCCAGGGCCTCGGAGGGAGCCATCTGCAACACACAACATCCCTTCCCCCTAGGGATCTCCAAGCCCGGGAGGCTGCAGGGTGTGGGAGACTCGGCCCCAGCGGAGAATGGGTCTGTGACCAAGCCCCCAGATCTGCAGGCCTGGGCATGTGCAAGCCTAGAGGGCAGCTGGCCCCGGCAGGTCCCAGCCCCGGGGGGCACAAAGGTTGCAACAACACCAGTTCTCAAAACGGGCCAAAGCTCCCAGCTAGGAGGCTGCCGGTCCCGCCAGCACCGAGCCGGGGCGCGGCCTTCACCCTCCCAGGCCCACGGAGCCACAGCCGGTGGGGTCCACACCCCCACACCAGAGCCCCCACCTCCAAGCTCTGCTGTGGGCTGGCGCGAGGCTCTGGCCCACCGGTTTCTGCCAGCCCCGGCTCCCTTGGCATCCACGGGTGGCCACGAGACCCCGTTCCTGGGCACGACATGGGGGGAGCATGGAGAGTGGGTAGCATTCGTTCCTGTGCAAACTGGCGCTACCCAGGGCACCAGGTCCACCCTCCTCGCTAAGGCAATAGGGTTGGTGTCGTGCACTGGCCTCTCGGGGCTGGGCTTCCTCCTAGTCCCCCCCGCCCCTGGCTATGAGGCTGCCAGGGGGGTCCCCGTGAGGCTCTGTCTGGCTCCTCTGCCCCCCACCCATGTACCCACCTTGGGGAGCGGCAGACTCAGCACCGAGGGCCTGCACGGGGGGACCTTGTGCCCAGGCCGGAAACCCCGCAGCAAAATGCGTGAAGGATGGGGTGGGGGACGGACCGACGTGAAGCAGCTTTGCAGGTCCCAGGAGACTCGGAGCTGTGCAGCGGGCGTCGGAGGCATGCAGGGGCAGGGAGCAGAGGAGAGGAGAACGGGGCCATCCAACCCCAAGCGGAGAGCGAGACAGCCAGACCCGAGCACGGCCGGACCCGGACTCAAGCACGAGACTTTGAATTTAGGATTGCTGCGTTTCTCCAACACCCCCCGCTTCAGGCACTGTCCCCGTCTCCCCCCCCACCGCCCTGGCCATGGGCATGGGTGAGCCTTTGAAAGTGGGGCTTGGAACCTCGGCCGGGGCACAGAGGTGACACCTCGCACGCGTGCGCGCATGTGTGTGTGTGCGTGCGAGGGGGGACCGCAAAGCACTATGGGTGGAGCAGGTGAGGCCAGTGGGGGCCAGCGGATGGATGGATGGATGGCTGAGAGCGCAGCGGGTTAACTCGCACCGGTGAAGCCTGGGAAAGTTGGGGGGGTGCGTGTGCACCTGTGCACGCGTGTGTGCCCGTGTACATCTGCACGCACAGAAGCATGTAGGCCCCTCACCAATAAAGGCCGCTAGACCGAAGCCTGGCTCCATTCAGCCACAGCCATGGCCCCTGCGACCAACGATGACGGATGCCCCTTGCCCGTCCCAGAGGACGTCCCCACTGAGCTCCGGCAGCTCGTCACACCTGCTGAGGTGACCCCCAGCACAGCAGGGCTCTCCCTGCGGCCCGGGAGCCAAACCACTCCGGCTCCAGCCCCTGACCTGCTGCGGGGTCGTGCTGCCCGTGCCTCAGTTTCCCCACTTGCACAACGGGGCTGACAAGTCACCTAGTTGGCCAGGGAGCCTGGAGGCCTCGGGATGCCTGGAAGCATGCGGAAATCTCTGCGCAGGGGGTGGCGGAGGAAGGCCGGCTGAGCAGCAAGGGGGTGTTTCACAGGCCAGGTGTCCGAAGCAGCCACAAAGGTGCCAGCCATGGGGGCCAGAGGGCCTGAGCCCACCCTGCGAGTGAGGCATGAGGAGGGGGAGCGCAGCCCCTGCAGTGGGCGAAGGTGGGATGCCCTGGGCAGGGATCTGCCTGCCCAGCACCTGGGAGCCACGGGCCAGCCTGTTTCTCGGGGGCCCTGGCTGAAGCCCATGCCCTCGCTCCCACCCGCCCAGGACACCCAGCTCCTGCTGCCGACGGACCCCACAGCTTCCTTCCTGCCCAGCTTTGGCTTGCACGGCGGGAGCAGGAGCCCCGAATGGCCACGATCCGCTCCAGCAAGGCACGAGGAAGCCAGGTCTGCTCAGCTGCAGGGGCTAACCGGGCAGCCCCCAGCCCTCGACCAGGCGGAAGGGATGAGAGAGCCGGGCTGGGGCTGGGGCTGGGGCTGGGGCTGGGACCCC